TCTTTCCAGTGAACCTCTGACAGCAAGAACAAAAGTATCTTAATTAATGAACATTTTACCTCAAAGTATATCTTTTGTCTGCATATTATAAGGTACCTTAATTCCAAGAAGAAGCAATCATTTGTGGAGAAAGGTCTTTATGAACAAGATACTATTCCTTTATAACTCTAAATCCATGATCAGATAATCACAATCAGAACTTCAAGAAATTCAGACTAATTCAACATCCCTTTACTATATATCCCTTTGATTTTCTGCTCATTCAAGAGCTTCAAAAGGAGTGCTTTGTAGGGGTTTCACAAATATTTGTAAAATGTACCACTGATTAGATAATGATGTCTTTTTTTGTGGTTGATAACTATGCCTTCTGCCTCACCAAAGTTTCTAGCAGAAACAGCCAACCTATTAATGAAGGACTTGCGGAGAAGGGGAAGTAGACCTAGAAAAATAATGATTATGAGAGGAAAAGATGGAGAGGAAAAAGCATCATTGTTCAAAAGCATAGCATGGTATATACAGAGTCTTATTTCCTCAGTACTTCATGGTTATATTAACAGACCACTAGAATGAATGCAAGAGTTGTTCTTACCTGTCCTGTATTGCCAGCCATTCTGTAGAGTCAAGCCCCATAAGATGTTCTGTTCGTTATCTGGTGCAAATCTTTCAAAATATCTGGCTGTCTGGTTTAGCAGGATTTTATACATACCCATTCTTTCAGTATATATCCAGGGATCAATAATGTACTTGTTATTCTCCACCCTATAGTCACTGAACTTGCCAGGAGACTCTGTCCACCGAGGAGGATACAGGGCCGAGAAATTGGAAGCTCCTGCTAAACAAGCAGAAAAGCAAATGACTAGCACACAAACCAGGGAAGGGAAGTGAGCCATGGTGCCAAGGGTAGGGACGGAGGTTGTAGCAAAGCCTTTTATCAGAAAATGGAGGGGGGGAGGGGGATGATATCCTCTTACATCACAGCTTGTCACCACTTTGCATCCTTTTTCTTGGACAGGGTGGAGATGCAGAGGAAATGTGTATGTTAGCTAGTTAGTTAAGAGAGTTGATTTTTTTCAACCTCTTCAGTTTTAGCACAGAGCAATCTTGGCTTCTGATATCCATGAAGTTCTAAATTGTCTGCTTACAATTATTGTTTCCAAAAAAAGTAATGAAATGTTAAGACTTTTTCTTTGAGGGAAGATTTATTATTACCTGGAGAACTTTATTTGAACAGACACAGTAAGTGTGCTCTATCATTTCTGTGCCTAATTTTTCTTAACTGTAATGTAGAAATAGTGTTGATAAATGATAATGATAAAACAAGCTTCCATATTGCATAGAGGCACTGAGAAAACTAAATCAGAAGGTTTGGACAAAGGAGTGATTGAGTATAAAACCATGGCAAAATAAAAAGCAAAACCATTTTTATTAGAATTAAATAACCGTAAGGGATATATTTGACACATTTATATTCTTTTAAATATATGCCTTGACTTACAAATGATTGGGTCATATTCTTGAATTACTTTAATACAGTCATCATCTTCCTTTCTCACCTTCATATAATTATAAGTGGAAAAGTTTAGATTCTTTTGTGGGTAAAACAGCTCACAGTCACACATGAATAGTGGTAATAATCAAAATGTTTTTTAATTGCCAAAAAGAAAAACTATGATTAACTTGCCTAACAAAATAAATATTCTTGACAAATATCGCAAAATACTTTACTAGCTGACACTTATGAGACAGTATTATCTTACAGTTAATATTTCAGTTACATTGGATATATTAATGAGCATTTTAGCATATTGGGGGTAATTATATTTTTCTGGTTAATGTTCTATTGTTATTCTTCAAAGTTGTGTGTGTGTGTGTGTGTGTGTGTGAGTACACACACACATATATACAAAAAGAAAGAAAAAATAACTAGTAGAGCAAAATAACAGTACACATTACAATGTGGAATTCTTTGTTGAAACTTGTGAATATGGTGTGTTATCCTTGATTTGATTATTGCACACTGCATCTAGGCTTTGCAAATCCATATTGTACCCAACAAGGATTATAATTACAATTGCAATGAGAAATTATAAAATAAAATTAAAAAATGTTTGTATCTGTTTCCCCCACACTGAAATTCTCCAAATGTTGGCACAGTGTCTTATTTATCTTTATACCTGCAGGATATATACCCTGACATACAGTATGCCTGAAACAAATGCTTAAAACAGAATAGTGAATGAATGAATAAATGCAGAAGGGCCCATAGCAGCAAATCATCCAGATGAATGCATTAAAGAAATGATAGCAGGAATAATCAACTCACAAATGTGAGCATGAGATAACCTCCCAAAAGTCTGCATCTCTGTAATGTGACATGTAAACAGTAGACAGCCCTCTCCTTAATGGCAGTCTATAACAAGAGATTCTAGAAGCTCAGTGTTCGAAAAGAAGTTTCACAATTCTGCATTGTTCATTCTTTATATAAAACTTATATGGAATAAAAGTGTCCTTTAATAATTATCAAATTCTAACCACCTTAATCCACACAAGTTGTTAATATCACCTGGAATTGGGACCAGCAGCTGATGCAATGGTTACATCACGGGACTCCCACATAGTTGACGGTGGTTCAAGTCTTGGACCCAGTGACTTAAAACTCACACTGGGCATGTATATGTGTGTACCCAAAGTCCCAAGAAGAGAATGGAAGAAAAGGGATTGCAGCATAGTCATCCCGCTAAGGGGTGATTTCTCGCTTTCTGTCTCTCTGTCTCTCCAGTGAATGCATGCACCCTATAGCAAAAAATTTATCTCAAAAAAAAAATCACCAAGAATGAAACAAATTAAAAGCCTTAATAATTTCCTTAATTCTATTTTTTATTGTCTAACTCTCAAGAAGTATTTAAAAATGCTTTTCAATGCAACTGTATTTGTCTAATTCATTGCATCTTCTATAATCCAATCAGAAAGAAAAATGGTACTTTTTTTTTCATTGTGTTGTAATAATTAATGATACCATAGAATTGTATTGACACTGAAACAGAATTGACCTAATTTCTTGTAATCTTTCCATAAACTAAGTGCTTTATTGCCTCATACATTAAAAGCTTAAAACAAATCTCTTTTAAGAATCTCACTGTGGGGCCAGCAAGTGGTGTGGTGGTTAAGGCACCAGACTCCCACAGGGCAGACTATGGTTCAAGAACTGGACCTGGCTGCTTGCTTTCGCTTGCCCTCTCTCTTTTCCTCTCTGTGTCTGTCTCTCTCTGGTGAGTGCATGAGCCCTATAGCAAATTTTTAAAATGATAATAATAAATACAATTAAATAAATAATTCTATTTCTTTCTTTCTTTATTCATTTAATTCCATTTGTTATTATTACTTTTTAATTTGACCAGAAAGAGACACAGAGATAGAGAGAAAGGGAAAGTGAGAAAGCAAGCCACCAGGTCCAGGACTTAAGCTGTGGTCTGCCATGGTTGACCCCAATAAATAATTCTAAACACAAAAACAAAAAAAGGTTCTCATCGTGATTTTAAACTATACTTTAGAGTTGAATAATGTTTAAAATGCCATGGACAATATTTCAAAAGAGGGCAATCTTTAACCCAGGTAAAATTCACCATGAAGTTCTTTCTCATGTAAAATTCATAGACCATTAATATACTTGGACTACCATCCTTAAACCTTAATTCAATCTTGTCACTGCCTCAAACCTCCACCTCACTCACAATATTCCTTAGCCTACTTCCTTCTCTAGGCATTTATTTGAGCTTTTTTTTTTTAATTTCCAATAAGTGATTGCCAAATAATTCATGGAAATGTATATTATTAAAAAACTGTGGGGAACCAGCAGTTAGCGTAATGGCTATGTCGCTGGACTCCCACGTAGTCGACCGCGGTTCGTGTCCCGGACCCGGTGGCTTAAATCTCACGCCGGGCGCGTGTGCGTGCGTGCCCAAGATCCCGAGAGGAGAATGGAGGAGAGGGGATTGCGGCGTGACCATCCCCCCTGGGGGGTGATTTCTCGCTTTCTGTCTCTATGTCTCTCTCTGTCTGTCTGGCGAGCGCACGCACCCTACAGTGAAAATCTCTCCAAAAAAAAAAAAAAAACTGTGCATGGTTTTCAATTTTTTTGTTTTTGCACCAAAGTAAATTGTACTTTTATTCCCTGTTCCTACAAACTCTTCAGAGTGTCCTTATATTTTATGTAAATTAGGTTCTTCTGCCTCATACTATATTGCTTCTACCTAAAGAATTTACTATTTCTTTCAGTGTAGATCTGCTGAAATGAATTCTCTCGATATTTGTTTGTATGAAAAGTATTTCTGCTTGGTTTTGTTAGAGATACTTTCTCTGAATATGGAATATGGGGATTGGTAGTTTTTCTTTCAGGATTTTAATCATATCATTTCATATCATTCCATGGTCTTTTGGATATACTATTTCTGATGAAATCTGCTGTATTTCTTACCTTGATTTCATTATAGGTATCATGTCTTTTTTCTTCCTCTCATCTACTTTCAGAATTTGGTCTTTGCCTTTTACTTACAGAAGCTTGAATATGACAACACTACTGTACTTATTTACACATCTTGTTTAGTGTTCTTTAAGTTTTGGGATATGTGATTTTGTATCTGTCATTAAATTTTTTCAAATACTCTTCTGCCCAATTGTCTTTTTTCCCCTGTGTTCTTCTTTTTTTTTTTTTTTGATCTTTGTACTTTTTGTTTTTGTATTTCAGATTGTGTACTTTCTATTGAACTCTTTTTCTTAAGTCCATCTATTTTTCAAATAAGCATTCCTGAGTATATGAGTTAGCCAGTCAGAGCAATTTTTCATCTCTGTTGCTGTGCTGGATTGCTAGTGTTTCCATTTGATTTCTTGAATTTGCATCTCTTACTGAAATGACCTATATGATCTTGTGTGTTAACCTTTTTTTATTAGAGTCTAAAATGTAAACATTTTAAATTTCCTGTCAGGTGATTTCATTGTCTGTCATATCCGAGTTCAGTGCTAATTATTTGTATCTTGAGAATATGTTCATTTTCTTGACTTTTCATGTAACTCATAATTTTGTTTTGTTGAGCACTGACACAATTTGTAGAACAATAGAGAATAAGATAAATAGGTTATTGCTTAAATATGGGGTAACTTTCTTTCTGTTAGATCATTCTTTAGTATATGGAGTTTGTGTTACCCTAGGTTAGAAGCAAGAATTTTTGTTTCTATGGTTACAAATCAGTGAAATATATGCTACAAATTCTTCTAGTGGGGCTGGTTTACCAGAGGATTTTTTTTTCTTTCTTTTTTTGGAAAGGTTTTTGCTATAGGCCCGTGTGCTCACCAGAAAGACAGAGAGAGACAGACAGACAGAAAGTGAGAAATCACCCCCCAGGGAGGATGGCCACGCCGCAATCCCTTCTCCTCCATTCTCCTCTCGGGATCTTGGACACGCATGCACATGCCCACAGTGTGAGTTTAAGCCATTGGGTCCAGGACTTGAACCGCAGTTGACTACATGGGAGTTCAGCAACATAGCCATTACACTAATTGCTGGTCCCTAGAGGATTTTTCTCAATATCCTCTCCTTGTTCAATCTTAGACTACGTGTGTGTATGTGCGTGTGTGTGTGTGTGTGTGTATGTCTGTGTGTCGGCATGAGGGGTGGATTGTAATTCAGAAATTAGAAATCGTGCCTCCTGTAGCTCTCTGAGCAGTATCTCATAGTAAATTTTACCTTCACCTATTAGGCAAGTTAGACAGTATTAAGCCTTTATAATCAGCAGTCACTGATCAAGAGTGTGGGTTGTACAGTGCTAGAGACTCTCCTTCAGCTATAGTTCTGGGCCTGTTCTGTGGTCTTGTCCTTTCCCATGGATAGAATTTT